CAGAATTTTAGTTGGAAACGAACTTGAGAGTCTGGTTCAAGCAGAGCAATGGGTCAAAAATTAAGACAAAATGTAAACACAGTGCAGATGGGAATTGTTTAGTCAATGCCATTGTTTTGAGAAATTCTCGATCCAGTTACCCTTGATGGGGCAACGAAGGACTCTGACATCTGCCACACAATCATTTTTTTCCCACCTCTCTTGGGAAAACAAAGATGAAATTACCACACGGTGACTATTAAGCAAGTTACACGAAAGCCGTATGCGCTTTTTCCAGAAAAATAAGTTGTACAACCTCACAGCAAGCAGACAAGAGATGCTCACAAAATCCTGCACAAACTCTTCCAGGGGAGGGGGCACTCGGTTGCTGTAGACAAGGAGGTGACTTAAGTGCCCGCTACCCTCGGCACCATGGCCACCCCTCATTTCTGCCTGGAGCGGGCTGTAAAGCTGTCAGAAATTTTCCCTCTCAAAGTTGTCATCTGGTTACTCCTGGGAGTGGCCGTAGATTAGGGACAAAAATCTCAAGAGCAAAACAGGGAGTCCGGATGGCTAGAACTTTTCAAAATAAAATCACTCTCGGCCAAGCGGTGGAAGCAGGTGTGGGAGCATCTTGGGTGGAGCACAGAGGACCCTGGAGGAGTGTGGTTTCCCTCCCCTGGCGTCCTGGGCTCAGACTCTGGCTTCTTCAAAGCCCGGAAGTTAGCCCTGCAGCGAAAGGGCTCCTCTGATTCTGCAAAGTCGTCGTGTATTCATGAATCTTCACTTTTTTTTTTAAGCTTTACCTGCAGCCTCTGGTAGTTTGTAAACATGTATAGACTTGAAGTATTGTGGGAGCAAGCTGCACCAGCTGAGAGTCACAAGCATCTCTCTGAACGTGGCATAGCAACGCCAGACGCACAGGAAAACGGCGACACACACTGGCTGCTGAACCAACACCCGAGTAAATGAAATTGAGGGGAAACTTCTAATTTCCGCTCTAATTTTAAAATATCAGCTGGGGAAGGGCTGTGTCATCAAATTCAAATTTCAATAGTAATTTTCAGAAAATCAAAGAAATAAAATGTGAAACTGTAGAAGAACCATCCCAGTTATTTGAGATTATTTATTAGGATTAAACCTTTTGGGAAGAAGAAAGAGCCACTGGGCAGTTTTGTTTACCTGGCATCAAATCTGTGCATCTTAAAAAAAAAGCAAAAAACTGAATCATGCACCAATATAAGACCCCAAGGTATCCAACTGTTCAGAGCAGCGGACCAGGGAGACATGTTGTACAAATCGGTCCACCCCTTTATCCTGATGGTGGCCACAGAAACTGTCAAAGCTCAGTTTTTTTCTCCTCCGATTCCTTCCTCTTCTGCCGTGAGTCACGTCCCGCGGTAACTCCTGGCTGACTTGAAAGGTCTTCTGGGACATCGACTCCCAGGACTCAATTTTCTCTGTCAGATTGTGGCAAATAAATCTCGTTTTATATCTCCGCGCGTAACAGCAGTGCAAACGCTTTCCTGGCTCTGCCGTCGCCTGCTGCGTTTAACGCTGCAGCTGCGACTTGACAATCCCTCCACCAGATGTGGACCAGGGGACCGCCCCCCCCACCCCGCCCCAGCTCCCAGGAATAACTGAGCAGAAAGGTGGTAAATCACCATCATAATTGTCTGGAGAGACCCAGTCAGCTGGCTTAATGAGACGGGAAGGAGGTTGCTGGGGAAGAGAAATGACATTTTAACGAGACAACTCACATCAAGCTGTAATTTATCCTTCACAACACATTTAATTTTTCGGGGGAGTTATCAGAAGCAGAACCGTCATTTTGAAGACACCAAGCCCTGTGTAACCCTTTTCAATCACTTCACTAAAGCCACAGAAGCCTACAAAACATTCTTTAAATATGTGCAAATCCGTGCTCACAAGATGCGGTGTAGCGACCTCATTTTCCGGTGGCTCTGCCTCGTTTGAAGTGTAAAATATTCCCTTTGAAACGGCAGTGCCAGTGTGATCCTGGCCTCTTGTCCTGCAAGGCCTGCGGTGCCCGCTCTCCTGATTGGGAGCTTGGACAAGAGCTCTCTGTTTCCCATCTCCACACCCAATAAATCTTCCCAAACTGGACAGACGGCCAGCAGCCGGGTCTGCTCAGGGCTGGCTCAGATGTAGAAATAAAGCTGAGGTTCCCTGGGGGCTGTGGGTCGGGGTCTCTGCAGGGACATGGGGATGGACCGCCGTGCTGGCTGCAGGGGGACACAGAAGGAGCCCCAGGTGAGGGCACAGCCAGTAGGACCCCATAGAAACAGGGACACACAGTGTCCTAATTTCCTCTTTCTAATTGTTGGCTGAAATGCCTTACACTCGCTCTGTTTGAACTTGGACTGTTTAGAGCTGAAGCCCAAGCTGGTCTCCCCGCCGCTGCCCGCTCTTTGCATGCCCTCACCAACCTTTCTTCTTTGTCCCCATTTACCCTATCCTGGTCTCTTCTTTTCTTCATTCTTCCCTCCTCCCTCCTCCCCCTCCCACTTTCCCCTTCCTCCCCTCCTCCTTCCTCCTCCTTCCTCCTCCCTCTCTCCTCCCCCTCCCCTCCCTCCCTCCCCCTCCCTCCCCCGGGGGTCTCCCAGCTCTGCAGACACCCTTGTCTTGCTCTCTGCATTGCCTCCTGGGCCTTGATTTCGATGTCATTCAAAAACAGGTATTCACATGGGCCTTGATAGTCGGAATCTGGTTGGTACCAAGGCCCACCTTTCTGCTGTGCCCACGAGAAGGCTGAAAGGACTGACTGTCGGGGTGTTTGCCCAAGACCCTGCATCTCCCCACAGCCTCTGCGTGAAGAATCAGTGAGCCCGGGGTGAGGCAGCCGTTAATCTGGGATGTGTGCTCAGCACACCTGCTCCCTGAGGGGGAAGCAGAATATTTGCTCACGATTGTGGACAAGAAAATAAATAAATCAAATAGCACAGAAGTAGACGGTCCTCCCTCTCTGCAGGGACCGCTGTCTCCCCCTTCCCGACCCTGGGAACAGGGGCACAGAGACGAACGGCCAGCCGGGGTGGGACCTGAACCATGGAGTGGTCACCATGACTCTGTGTGTCCTGGGCTCACGGGGCAGAGCTTGGAGCGGCAGGGGTGGGCGTGGGGGTGGGCTTATACATCTGTGGGATAATCCTACACGTACTGTGCTGACATTTAAGTCATTTCTTGGGTGTTGGGAGGGACTGTGACTGGGAAGGCGTTTCCTTCCAGAGTGATGGCAGCGTCCATCTGTAACTAGACCAGCTGGCGGATGGCACAGCAAGTGTCCTGGGTGCCACTGGACAGGGCGCCTTTAAACGGCTGATGGTTGATGTTCTGTTATGTGAATTTTACATCCAGATTGAAAAAAATCAGTTGTCAGTACCTTGGAGAACTTTCCACGCGACTTTAGCTCCACTTGTGGACAGCCAGCTTGTTTCTGAGTCTCTGTGACTGTAAATTGTGCTTCAGAACAACCTCCCTGCACTCCCTTGACTGCACAGGCGCTTCTAAGGGAGGCCTGGGGTGAGGTTACCGAGGGCAGGTGTGCCCACTCTGATGGCGATGCCCGACCTCCCTCCAAGAGGATGCACACTAAGGACTGAAGGTCACCCAGGAAGCTGGCTTCTATCCTGCAAAGTTCTCTCTCCTGGGGAGGCGGAGGCTGTGAGTGGTCTCTAGCCACATGTGAAAACCCGAAATACCACGCGTGGAAACTGGACCTGTGGGGCACTTGCTCCGCAGTGTAGCTGATGTCGGATCCCAGTGAAATAAAAGATGGAACAGGCACACCCTCTTCACGCCCGGCTCTGCTCCGACCTGAAGCTGGGCACCAGGCCGGCCTCGGGGGTCCTGCGGGGGCCGGACCTCGGCCTCCCAGCTCAGAGGACCGCCTGCCTTCTGACCCCACAACCACGCCCTCCCGGTCCCACACCTGGGGACCACCTTCACTGATTTCCAAGAAAGAAAACAAAATCCGCTCCCCGACGTGGGGTCCATTCTAGCCTCTCCCGAAGCCCCGGCCTGGTCCTCTGGAGACAAGGCGGCCCACTCAGCCTCTGCAACCGGGCCCTGGCTCTGGTCCTCCTGGGGGCTTATGGAGACAATTTCCCCAAAGATGGGGCTCGCCCTACGAGAAATCTTCACACCAGCTGGTCCAGCAGACCATGCTCTGAACCTTGCTCCAGAATACGTCTGGTGTTCGACCCGGATGAGGAATGAACCGTCTCGCTGTGGGGAGGCTGTCGCCCCCCCAGGTCCTCCCTCCCAGCTCTGCACACTCCGCACCCCCTGTGCCCTCGTCAGGCCGCCCTCCGTCAGGCCCAGGATGCCCACCGGCCTAACACGGGCAGGTCCAGGGAGAGCATCGCTCTCCCGCCCGGCCCGCCCCCCTCACCCCCACTTCCTGCAGACGCAGAGACACCGCTCCCCCCTGGACTGTCATGCCTCCCTCTTCCCCGGAGCTGCCCCCAAGGCCTGCTCACAGGCTCCCTCTATCCCAAGCACGACGCAGGAAAAGGGACACTGAGGTGTCTCCCCTCCCTCAACTCCATCCCCTTCCTTCCTGCCTTTCCTCAGTCAGGAGAAGGGGATTTATTTTAGGATTTTTTTTTTTTGACAGAAAACACCTCAGGAATTACATCTGGAGCAGAATCTTACAAAGGTGACGTCTTCCAAGAATCCAATTACTCAGATTCTCTCTGACGTGAAATCTTTAACTCCCAAGGGTTTGGGTTCAGCCCGCAGGGGCAAGCATCCCGCAACGGAGAGGCTGGAGGGGTGAGCGAGTTCCCGGGGGACGGGAGACACCTGTTACGTCTCAATCCCCAGAAGCACCGAGGCTGCCTCTAATTTTCTGCGAGCTAATTGTTCCGAGGCCCTGAGGGACCCTCCACACCACTTCTGCAGAGACTTCATTCCCTGGCAAGAATAGCCTTTTATTTTAACTTTTTTCTGGTGAGCTTAACCCATTTAATCCCACCTAATTCTTTAATGAAGCTCTGTTTTCCACATGGACTCTCACATTCGTAAATTATTTTCGCTTCTATTCCGGAAGCATTGAAAAGATGGTCGGGTTTGCTTAACTTGAGCTGTGCCTACACTATGTCAAAAACAAAAGCAAAAACAAGAAACGCAAACAAAAGCAGTTAATCAATTCGATCGTCAATGGGTTAAGCTGCTTGCTTTGCTGAACTAGCTAGTGAGTTAGTCAAAATGATTTAAGGGAATTAAGTGGATTCCCTTAAAACGATAAACCCTTACAGACAGCTTGATTCCAGGAACTCTCCCCGGTAATTTTGGTGCTCCCTCCCTTTCTCCTCTGAACTTTGGGGGATTCTGCCAAGTCTGGTGATGTCACTGGCTGAGTCGTGCAGAAACAGTGTAAGGCACGTCGTCCAGGACCCAGCACCCGTCGGGGAAGCGCTGATAACCTGGTGCTGCAGGCACGGAACGCGGGCTATAAATAACCAGAATCCTGAGAATTTTCAGTTCTTCCTGTGGGGAGTTCAGCAGACTCATATCTACAGATTTCAAAGGGACTCAATTTAGTTTTTTAGAAAGTGCAAAGGGGCACACATGGACCCTCCTTGTGGTCTCAGAGGGCTTCCTGGCGGTAAACCCCCAAACGAAAAATTTGCTCTCAACTGCCACTCTGGGCAATGGCTGGACTCAGACAGGGGCCCTGTATCAGCCAGGAGCCAGGCTTTTTCCTTAACTTTGAAAAGATTATATTCCGAGCGCGTCTTGGAGGGCAGAGCTGTGTTCTAGGTGATTTTTCTTCCATCCCCCTCCAGCTCCCCTCTCTGCCGCTCAGCTCACGTGCCTGCAGCTTGCAGGGCACCTGACTGGGGCCAGCGCCTGCACTGGATGCTCCCTGCCTCCGTCTTTGCAAGCCTAGGTCTCTGGACCCCGAACCATGCAGACCTCAAACTCACGTCCACACATGCACACACACACGTATGCATGCACTCCTCACTGTAACTTAAAGACTTTGGCCCCTTCTTCAAAGCCTCCCGAGAATTTCTCCCCTTTATGGTGGATTTTCAAATACAATGATCAGAGCAGTCGAGGAGGGAGAGACATGAAGGTCTATCAGTTGTGATGAGGTGCGAGCCTTCAGAGCCCCTGCTGAGAGCAATCATCTGTCTAGGTCTCAGTTTCCCGCCCACAAAATGAAGGCAGCTGATAAAAAAGAATGAAATCATGCCATTTGCAGCAACAGGGATGGACTCAGAGAGGATCACACTCAGTGGAGTAACTGAGACAGAGAAGGACAAATATGTGACAGCACTCATATGTGGAATCTAAAAAACAAGAAGACACAAATGAACTTATTTACAAAACAGAAAGAGACTCACAGACACAGAAAACAGACTTATGGTTACCAAAGGGGGAAAGGTTGGGAGGGATAAATTGGGAGTTTGGGATTAGCAGATACAAACTACTACATACAAAATAGATAAACAACAAGGTCCTGCTATACAGCACAGGGACCTATATTCAATATCTTGTAATGGCCTATAACGGAAAAGAATCTGAAAAAGAATATTTATCTATGTGTAACTGAATCAGTATACTGCACACCGGGAACTAACACAATGCTGTAAATCAACTATGCTTCCATAAAAACAAATTAATAAGAAATAAAGTAAAATGAGGGAGGCTGTGTTTGCCGCAGGTTGAGAAGCACGGGTAGGGTCCCGTTTTCAAGCCTCTTTAAGCATCAGCGTGTGGTGGTGCTGGCAGAGAACAAAGTATCCTGCTGCTCCGGGCAGAATAATTAAACCAAAATCTCCTGAGTCCCACCTCTGTGCCCGCCTGTCACACTGATCACGGGAGATTCCTGAGAAAAGAGTTGCCCTGCGCAGTCCAGCGGGACTCCCACACTTCGCCCACGGCTCTGGGGCCCTGTTCACATTCATTAGGGGGAGGAAACAGTCTTCCATTCAGATAAGCAACGTGACTGCTTCAGGATGAGGTCTGTAGTTCCTGGAGTGCTGGGGTGCGTTACCGTTAATAAGACGAAGGGAGCCGTCTTTGTGGATGGAGGATGGGGGCGGGCGTGCAGCTCAGCCTCTCCCCGCAGAGGAGGTGACTGACGGGGTGGCGGTGGCTCCCGGGGCCGTGACGGGGCTGGCACCACACTGGAGACCAGGTCAGAGGTGCCTCCCCCACTGCCGTCCTCGCGGATCTGGGGGCCCGTAGAGCAGACATTAGTGGAAGCAGCTCTTTGCGGAAAACCGCCCTCAGCAGTCTTGTCGCTTCAGCAACATTGTCACCGCATTTAAACCAGGCGCCCCCACGCTCTACTCAGCTGGGCACAAGCACACCTCTCAGGCCCTTTGATCACACAATACCTTGCCTCATCTGTTGGTTCTTTCCATGAATCAAAGAAGAAGGAATGGAGAGTACGTACTTAACAGATGACCACGTCGCTTCCCCGCTTCCCCTTTGTGGTCTTGCAGACAGACGGCATGAATGAAAGGGCATCTGAGGAAAGATCACAAGACGTCGACAAGTCTGCATGTGGTGGGGGGTGGCAACGGGCCTGTCCCCCATCTCCACGATTACCTGAGGTTACCTCCCCTTTTCCCTTTAAAACCCTTCATGGTCAAGCAGACCCTTCGGGATGGTTTCTGGGGACACACGTCTGCCTTCTCCCCAGATGGCCAGCATTCTGATTAAAAGCAACTTTCCTTTCCACCAACACTTGCCTCTCGGGAGTTGACTTTCGAGCGGCTGGCCCCAAGTCAGAACGTCAGACCACGAGGTGGTCACCCAGAGAGGACTTACCTGGAGGTGCAAGGACCCCCCAGATATACGGTGGGGGGCAGGGTTGCGGCTTACATCTGTGTTCAAAACAGATTACAGGATGGGCTATAATTAGGTTATAGTTATGTATTACACAATCCTCATTAAATATAATAAACTATAATAGATTATGAGCACTAACGGTGGCGCATGACGAGCTTTTAGAATTTTGCTCTTTATACCCAGAGGCTGTATCAGATTCCAGCTGGAGCCAACACAGCCAGGAAGGTTTAATACTTCACATTCGACAGAAGCAGATCCAGGTCCCATTCGCAGTGGGTAATCCAGTTTTCCGGCCTTCGTTTCGTCAAATCCTTTCAATCCATCGTTCCCTGGCTCCATCAGCCCCACAAGCTCCCTCCGCTTCCTGCTCTATTCTGGGGGGCGGGCTCGGCTCCAGGGTAAGTGGTCTCTCTTACCCTGAGGGAGCTCGCTCACCCGCCTGCTCCCCAATCTCTTCTTCTTGTGAATCTTTCTCTTTCCATCATTCTTTCCTTAAATGTTTAGATTTAAAGTCTTTTGCCATTTTTTCCTACTTTTTCGCCCAGCTTTATGAAGTTACCAGCTATAAACAAGAAAGGACATTAATAAGGTACAGGAAGTCAGAAGCCACGTTTTGCCCCCTTCTGCTCGCCACGGAAAACGCCAGAAACAACATCAGATAAAAAGCCGTCAGGGGGCTCTGTACCCAGAGCCAGCCACGGGAAGCCGTCCTGCGTGCTTACACTTGGTGGAGCTGGTTTTGGCAAAGGACAGCCGATGACGACATCCTAGCCTTGGGCACCGGAGGACAGCTTTTCACTTAGTGAAGACCAGCTGGGGTGTGAGGATTTGAAACCGTGTTTCAACGAGCAGATTCTTCTCAGTATTGCAGGGAAGTGCTTTTCTATTAGAAAAAAGGCCAGCTTTGGAGCAGAAGGAGGAGTCTGCCTGCTGGCCGGGACGGACGCGCAGCCCTGTGTCTCTGGCGGTGCTGCTGTTAGCGCCAGCCTGGAGGAGCTTGTCAATCGTGTCCCCCTTGTGACAGCGGATTCATCATCGTCTACAGGACACTGAGAAGTATCCTACACAAACCCAGTGTCCACCTCCTGCTCAGCCAACAAGGCCAGCGGGCAGGTCACACAGCAGCATCCCTGGGAGCCCACCCACGTGGGGCGGGCACGTCTCAGCGGCGGGGGATGGGCTGAAAGCTGGAGTTGCTGTGTTTTGGTAAAGAGACTCCCAAAGCACGTCTGCAGGGTGGCCACCCAATTCTGGAAACACAGATGAACACCTGATACAAGGTTTAATATTCCATGATGAAACAATTTCACTGGTGTTTCCAGACCTGGTGCCACCGCGTCCCACAAGGGGTGGAGCCCACTGCACAGGAGAGAGCAGAGCCAGACCCCGTGCTGCGCCATCGCCCTGGACGTCCGGGCATCGGGCCAACCGGTCACAGATGCCCACGTGAGTCAGATAAATAGGTTCATGCGTAATAAAGAGATCACCGCCTCCGCCTTCTAGCTGAGCCCGCACCCTGCAGTCACGGAGGACGCTTAGGGGGCCGATTAGCAGCATTCATTGCTCTCCCCCGTCCCACGAGAGTGCTTCATGCTAGGTCCGGAGTAATCCAAATCCCAGCGCTCAGCATTCCGCCGTCTCTCCCCAGCCCGTGCGTGCCCCCCACGCCCCCGCCCCGCCGTTAGACGGTCAGCTGCAGCATCCTGCTCTGGGGAAACCTGTGGGCTTGACGCGGGAAGCCCCATAAAAAGACCCGCAGGACCCCCCAGGCAGGGCCACTGCTCTCCTGCCAGCACCATCTGGTTCCCTGGCCCAGAGGCTCTATCTCACTCTTTGCCTCTGAAATGGCTTACTTACCCCTAAAACCTCTGAAATGGCTTACTTACCCCTAAAATTCTATTGGTTCCCTGAGCTCACTTCTGATTGGTTATTTCCTTCACTCCTGATTGGTTATTTCTCTCCCTCCTGATTGGTCCACTTCTACAAAGTTTGTTCCTAATTAGTCAACTTTTGTTATAACTTATTTGCATATAATGTTGCGAAGTGTTAACTGGCAGCCTATAAAAGCCTGTGTAAAGCTATGGATGGGTTTTAGAGCTTGGAGTGTTAACTCTTCTGGGCCTGCTGGCATAATAAACCTGAGTTCTCCAACTCTCTTGAGTGCTGCTTGGTTTCTCGCCTGGATCCAGGTTGCTGTCACAACTGAGCTGTAACACGTTTTTTCTGCAACAGTCTCCCTAGCAAGGAGGCTGCAGTGTCGCTGGACTTCTTCTGCATCAGCTGTGTGTGTGTGTGTGTGAGAGAGAGAGAGAGGGCAAGACAGATACACACACAGGGAGAGAGACAGAGACAGAGAGGGAGGGAGAGACATACACACAAAGAGAGACACACAGAGAGAGACACACACACACACAAAACACACAGAGGCAGAGGGAGAGGAGCTGCAACATGCCTGCAGCCTGGCCTCCACATCCTGTTTGCTGTATTCTACTAGGAGCAACAAGCTAAAGGTGGCGAATTAGGAGAATTAGACCTTACCTTTTGATGGGAAGAGAGTCAAACAGTTTGTGAGTATGTTTTTAAACCACTGTAGACATTTCTGGCCTTTGCACAAGAAGAAGCACAAGGAGAGGCATCTGAGTGGCTCAATAGTGTGATCAAAACCCAGGCTCCTTCGCCTCCTTTCTTCTCAGCATCTTTAAGGACTTGGCTTCTCATGTTATGTTCACACAATGGCTGCTGCCTCTCCAGCCATCACATCTGTCGTCCAGGCAGGATGAAGGCTGAATGCAGTTTGTCTCCCATGCCCAACTCCCTGCTTGAGCAGGAAAGCAAAAGCTTTCTCGTAAGCCGTTCAGCTGACTTCCTCTTAGATTTAATGGCCCCAGATTGTGTGGCATGGCTGCCAGGAGCTCAGCTGGGCTGGGAGAGAGCACTGAGCAGTCAGAGGTTAAAGAGCAGCCGATGAAAGCCACAAGGAGCAACAGTGAAGCCTCCAATCACCCAGTGCAATGGTACCAGTGCAAGGCGATGTACAGAAAGCACCTACCACACTCAGGAGGCTGGAGTTAAGGACTTGGGGAACGGGGCAAGGAGGGGTCCAGGTGCAGGAGAAGGGCCAGACATGCAGAAGTGCTGAGTCCTGGAGAGGAAGTGTCTTCAAGGTTTCCCCTGGAGGAGACCTAGGAATTGAGGCACCAGGTTCCCTGAGAGCCTACTGCCCCACCATGCACCAGGCTCCGGGAGGCTCCCGCCCGAGGTCTCCCAGGGAAAGCCTTTGAAATGGCCTTGTTGTGCCAGAGAAACCACAGGCAGGTTTTCAACCAGGAGCCGGACTCCTCAGGCCCCACCTCACTGCTGGAGAGGCTGGAAAGCTGAGAATTTTTTTCTCTAACCTCTACAATAAAAGAAGACAGGGGCACAGGGGCCAGAATGTATGTTGAGGGAACAGAGCAACATTACCTGTCAAACAGCGTAAATTCCCAGAAAGGATGCTCGACTTCATGATAGATATGTGGATGTTTATGATGCAACTGTGAATTTTTAAACATATTCTAATGTGTATATGTAATAGACATCAAGGAGCAGAAAGAGAGAAAATGTGAGTATGAGAAGAGAAAGCCAGGGAAAAACAGGGGAAGGAGGAAATGAGAGGAATGGGCAGGGACAAAGACGGCTCCTCTGAAGCCCAGGAGGATGGGAGGGAGGGACCCCAGGAGGATGGGAGAGGAGGGGAGGGACCCCAGGACGACAGGAGGGGAGGGAAGGGACCCCAGGAGGACAGGAGGGGAGATCGGGGGCCCCACAGGACAGAGGGGAGGCTGGGGACCCCAGGAGGATGGGAGGGGAAGTTGGGGACCTCACAGGACAGGAGGGGAGGTCAGGGACACTGCAGGACAGAAGCAAGGTCAGGGACCTGAGGTTCAGTTTCTCAGCCCCAGGTCAGGTTGGTGTTGGTTTCATTGGATGTGCAGTAGGTGTCAGGCCTATGTGCCCTGTCCCTCTGCCTTGTCTCACTGCATCATGAATTTGTTTTTGCCTGTTTTGGGCAGTAGTAGATAACCTCTCTGTTAGCAAAAAAGACGGATAATCCAGAATGAATCCTGCAGTTTTCCAGACCCTTCCTCAAGCAGAAGGTTCTGGAAATGAACGTGCCCTAACCCCCATGTTTCAGAACCACCCCCTCTGTGAGACTTTCAGCTGCCAAGGATTGATTGTGCTCATGTTAAAAAAGAAAATTCTTCCTGCTAAATTCATTTCTTTAACACTTAATTTTTTTCTGCCAAAGTCGGATGAATTAGCAGTGACTTGGCAGCCAATTAAAGTTCACAGTAATTTTGTGATCCTTGGGGTCAGAAATAGCTTTCCTATGACCTGTAGGAGGGGTGTCTCTGGGATTTGTTGGGCGTGAGAGAAGTTCACACCCTGCCTGGGGTGCTGACCGCTGCGCAGGGTGACGGCAGCATCTGAGCAGCCAGGTGGCCCTGAGTTCCCCTCCAGGCGATTTCTCAGCACGAGCGAGAGGCTCTGAGGCCACAGCCACCCGGCAGGGATGCTCAGCCACTGGTCACCGTCCGTGTGGATAAGGAAGAGACGCGGGAGAGGGTGAGAGCAGGGCTGGACCACTCTCCTGGGCAGGGGGAAGGGCGCTGTCACCGGGGTGTCACACGTGTGACAAACACGCTCACAGTGCAGTCAGTCTTCTTCCCACGGGCCGGCGACAGGACTGTTCGGCTCAGTGTCCATCAGAGACTCTCTCCGGATGTAAAACTTACTTAGAATTTCCCCATTCCGGCAGAATTAGAAAGCTCTCAAATTCCTGGTCGTGGACAATCCTTTTTTGTTGAGGGTCATTCCACAGAGAAAAAACACTCTTCAGCCTTAAGTCTTTAAAAGGACTGGACGCAGGCGGAAGGGCCCTTCATGTCTCTGTGCTACAGAAGAGCGAACGCTTTCCAGCTCGGAGCATCAGGGACAATGACACGTCGTCACTGACGCTGTGCGTCAGAGGGACAGAAGAGAAAGACTGTACAAAAAGAAACACAAGGAGGGCTAGCAGCCGGAGGGCAGAGGTGGAGAGACTTCTATCCACCGCATCCTCACGGGCGCTAAAAGCCAGACCAGGGAAACGGGGATTTTAACCAGCTGCCAATCATTGGGGTCACGTGTGGCACAGAAAACAAACTTGTGTTTTCTCCTTGTCAGTTTTAAACAGAGGGGCTGTCACTCGAGCCAGTGTAGCTACTACGCGCACAGCAGGGGGACCCAGCGCTGCCTGCATCCCGTCTCAGCACGATGTCATCAGGCCGTCCCTCCACCGCGCTCCACCAGCCTGCCCGTGACAGTTGTTGTCCGGGTGCCAGCAGCTCCCAGGCTCCACCGCAGCCCTCCGTCCCAGGAAAGGGGACCTGGGTGACACTGCTCTTCCAGGAGGCGGCCTCTGAGAGCGCATCTCCCTGGCCTGCTGTCTGGCCCCCTTAATTACATGGGTCACATGCGATCTTCCCAGTTACTGGTCTGGCACTGATTTCCTTCAAGTCAATTTAACAAAAGAATATTAAATAAAATACTACGACTGGGTGCTGGGCTCTGTGTCCAGACCACGTTTCTGGGTAGGATCTCAGAAGTGCTGTCCGACCCTTGGCAACCTGGAAAAAGTGGCCGAAGCCCCAGAGAGCCCGCAGGTGTCTAGGGAAGGGCCATATTAATTCACCCCACGAGTATTTACCGATGCCACCCCTTTCCTAGTCTCAAGGGACTTACATTCTGGCAGGGGAGATGCGTAATAATCTGTCATCAAACGAACAATGAGCTGAGCAGCTCCCAGCGCCTGCTCTGGAGAGCAGGACCCCAGCCAGCGGGATGAGAATGGGCTCCCTCAGCCACGTGGTCAGCGCAGGTCCCAGGCCGACTCTGAGGCCAGAACAAACATCTAGAGGAGCCAGCAGGACTCGGAGCAGGAGCGGATCCCAGGCGGGGGCCCTGGGGGGGCAGCGCTGGGTCTTACTCCATCTGTGGTGGGAGCCAAGGGTGGGTGTCCCGCCGGGTCATCGTGGGGCCCTGGCCGCAGAGCAGGGACGAAGGGCCAGGCCACTCCGATCACTCTGCACAGGAGGGCCCGTCCCATCAGCTCACCTGGAAACCGTGAGCCTGGTGTGCGCCTGACAGGCTGGTTTTCAATCGCATGTTAGGTCATTACATCCTTAGAACAGGGGCTGCCCTGAGCCGTCCTGAAGAATTCACTCTGATCCAGTGACCGTGAAAGCACCTGCTTTGAACACAACAACAGGCCTGGGAGAAACAGACCAGCAGGGCTGGAATCTGAGGCTGCAAAACAAGATTCCACTGATCAGTGGTCCTTCCTTCCCACCTGTGCTCATGGCCACGTCTCCAGCACCCAGCACAGAGGCAGACACGTAGCTATTTGCTGAAAGCATTCATGTGTTAGCCCAGTAGAAGCTCAAGAAATACAATTAAACCTCAGGAGTACAGCGCCCCAACCAGCTCACAAAGCAGCCCTGGACACGAGCCTCGGCATATGAAGGCCATCCTGGTGGAAGGGTGGGATGGGCCCACACCCACTCCAACCTCAGCATGCCGGCATCCAGCATCCAGGGCTGCTCAAAGCGTCCTGAGCTGCCTGACCATGCGGACGGTTCCATCTCCGGCCCGGCCCCCGGCCCTCCACGCCCTCACCCTCCAGAGAGAACCAGCAGACAGTGTCTCACTGACCCGCAGGGCCCTGTGGGCAGCAGCCCCCCGCTTCCCAGTGGCCTTCTCCTCTGCCTCCACCCTACTCTGCCCCCTGAAACAGGGGAGCCTCTTGTGGGAGC